CCTTACCTCCCAGAAACTACCCTCAGGAGCCTCCCCACCGGCATCATCTTCTGATGACATCACACCCGTTTTCTTGCAGCAGAGAATTTTTGCAGATTTTAGTTAAGCTGAGGAAAGAAGGAAAAAAAATTTAATATGGCACTGTCTGAACTTTTGCAGAGACCACAGTTCTCCATAACTTAGCTAGAGAAATCTCACTTAGTGTCTTGCAGACAAGCACTGCCATCACTGCACCTCCAGCAGCAGATGGCTGCATGTAGCAGAAATGCCCAAGATTGAACCTGCCTGTTGTTTCCCTCCCTGCAGATGAAGGGCCTCCTTGGCAGCCCAGGAGCACATTTGGAAAGAATGTTGCAGAAGACCATCTTGCCAAACCTCAGCTGTATGAATCCCAGAAATGCTGATGAATCCAACATTTCTCAGCAGCAGTCACCTCTGCAGAGATTCTTTTCTTCACCAAGGCTCATAGAACAGTAGCAAAAGCTACAGAAATGGAGGTAGCTAGAACCATTAGAAAGTCCTCTGTCAGATGACTCCAGCTTCCCAGTGTGAGATTCAGGATTACAGCTGACTGGAAATAGTGATGCTGGGCAGTCAGCAGGCAGGCATGTCTTGAATGGGGAGGAGCCCTACAAATTGCCCATTGGCTGAGTTGGGCTCAAGTAAAACTACAGAAATATGCTGAAGCAAATCCAGCCAGGGGAAGGCACGGCAGCATGCATGCCAGTTACTCAGCCATGCCACTTCCCTAGAAATATCTCTGTAAAGCTGGCACAGCCCACCACTGCACTAGGGTCAAAATCCAGGCAAGGAGTTGAAAAGTGTTTCTCATTCTGTTGTCTCTTCTGCCCATTTCCCCTGTGCAAGCCTGTGCTGCCATTCTGCACCAGTCAGGGTGCAACATCAAATACCTTGAGAAAGCTTCTGGGATGATCTTAGGCAAGAGCAAAGAGTAATGCAAAGAGACTCAAGCGTTGACATATAAACCCGCTCCATTCTAGGCAAGCTTGGGTTAATCTACCATAGATGTCCTTTGCTGCCACTTCTCCTCTTGCACATTCCTAGTTATAAAAAGCTTTCTTCACACCCCAGAGAGGTATCTGGTCATTCTGCCAGCCCACAGAGTACACAGCAGAGATGAAGAAAATCACATCGAGAGTCTGCATCCCCCACATCTTTAAAGTCCTTTCCACTGTGCCTACTATAGCATGAGCCACATCATGAAGTGTCCCAACAAAGACTGCAGGAATTTCTTCCATTTCTTCTGGCAATAGCCACGCTCTATTTGCAGTCTCATCTTACTGACAGTAGGAAGTATATTAACGCTGCTCCAGAAGGCTGAAGTGATGAATGTCAGTCACAGAAGCAAGTTGTTAAATAGGATGTGGTACTCAAATGCATGAACTTCGAAGCCTGAAGAACAACTTCACCTGTTCCCATCCTCCCTCTCCCCCACCATTCCTCAGAGGTCTGCAAAGCCATACTACTGGTTTCCAGGGCACGCAACTCCATATTAGTCCCCAGTAGCTACATACCTGAAAATGAGATGACGGGAGCAGCAGGAAGCCGGCAACTACGTCCTGAGCTCAAATTCTGTAAAACAGATTGGAGAGGAGACAGATGGGCACAGTTAGATAGCATTGCTTCGCTGCCTGCTCTGACACATCCCAATCCCAGCATAGACATAAGGTTGTCCCCCTTCTGCCAGCTACTAGGAGGGGCACCCTCTGATATAGCAGCTGTGGCCACTGTGCCTCCTAAGATGCCACGTTCCAACACGTAGGAGAGATGCCAGATCGCTGTGTCACAAGATCTAGCCCCAGAGGAAGCTAAAATAGAAACACTGGGGCGGGATGACAGCACTGTGCGGGAAAGGTAGCATCACAACAGCTGAGCAAAGGGAACTGCCCAAGGAAAGAAGGGCCTAAAATAAGCACACTCCCTGGGCACGGTATGTGGGGCCTGACCCCCCATCCCCTAACTGTACACTGTCTGGTTTGGGAAACTCACTGCCACCACATTTAGGCTTAGTAAACTTCAGGAGAAGGGGAAGGACAGACGTATACCTTCTCCAGACCATGTTTAGTAAAGATGAAGGGCATTTATCTATGAAACAAAGGACTCTTTAACTTCACAATTAAAAACAAGCTTACTTTCTCCTCACGGAGAGGGATCAATTAGTTACAACTCATGAAGGTTGTATCACTTTTTCCCATCCTTCCCTCCCACTCTCCCCCATCCCCACTTCTTTATCAGAAGCAGTGAATTACAAACATGCCTTCCATCTCTTGTTTCCAGTTCAGGCTGACTATACAGTCCTAGAATTCAGGGTTAAATGTGGAAAACTTGTGTCAGAGCGTGCTTGTTTGTTTGATAGTCAATAAGAAAGGAGGAACTGAAATCCATTATTTCTGCTATTTTCATGTTCAAGTTGGAAACAAAATTAAAGAAGTTGGGAATGAACTAAAGAAAAACTAAAGAAATTGTGAGAAATTATATTTCTTCTGCCATTTCCACAATAAATGTGAGGTATCCTTCCTTATTTCATCAAGTTACAAGCCCAGGTAACTGGGTCTACTATGCTTGTGATTAGCAAGTTCTGAAACGTAATAGTAGCAGTGCTGAACAAGACTGAGTGTTCTCGTTGCCCTATATCCTTCACAGACAGTAGCCAAAAGCAGGTATTTTCCCCTGCTCTGAGAACAGAGCAAGCATACATGATGCCTCCCTGCATATTTTCCAAGCCTCTAACCATTTGTTGACAGGAGCTTCCTGAGCTGGATGTGGCACCTATGAATTTAGAAACACTCAATGCATTTCTCTTCCACTAACTTCTCCAATCTCATACGAGTTTTCAGCATCAACAATATCATGTGGCAAAGCATCCCACAGCTTAAGGCTCAACTTGGAACCACCGCAGTGGCTAGGTGGCACAATTAAAAAAAAAAAAAAAAAAAAAAGCAGGATAATATTTCTGCAGGTCAGTCTCCATGCGTCAAGTAGCACTCAGTAGAATACACATTTAAAAAACGTTTATGTGGACTTTATAGAAGCCAGGGGAAAAAAAAAAAAAAAAAAGACACAGTCCTGAAAGACGGAAAAAGGTCAAAAAAAAATAAGGGGGACCCTTTTCTGCCAGGCTTTTTCTGGACTTTACATAGCCCATGAGCCCATGTCAGTCAGCAGATCAAATTGGATCTGCGTGCAGACACAGGGAAGGTACTTAGTAGCGCACACAGAAGCTGAAGAACAGCTGCTGCTGTCACCCTCAGCCCAAGAAGAGCAAATAGATTGCCACTCCACCCCCTCATGCCTCGTTATTCCTGAAACATATGTGTTGTGTGCTGCCAAGAACCCAAAACCAGGGAAAAATTGAGTTTGCCAGGAAAAACAAATAGAGAAGCATTACACATGCCAAAGCCTGAGACTTGTTTTATAGCAAGGTATAGAGATGACAGTACTACCCTATGCACAGCCCAATGTAGCAGAAGCCACCATGTAATTCAGAAATGCTAAGAGAGCCTGCACAGGACAAGCAGTATAGCTGGAGTTCCATGTGGATCAGCACCAACACATTCTGATGCCACTGCCACCTTTGCTGAGAAGAGGCCAACAACGGATTTGCACACCTAGAGGAATGTTTATCCTTCCCCTCCTGCTTTCCTTGTTCACATCTCACAGATAAAAGGTTGGAGACCTCACTGCAGCTCCTGCAAGAGAAGCTCTCTGAAGGAGAGCGACTTCTTCTTTAGTCACTTCGCACCTCTGCAGAGTTACAAATGAGGGCATCACTGGCACTGCTACAAACAGCAGTGTCAAGTAGACAAAATAGATGACATAAATGACGCTTACGCAAAGCTACAGCCTTTGCTGCTGACAGTGTTAAAAAAAATAAAAGATACTCTCCTACTTCCCTGAAGATCTACTTTCATTTATGAACAGCATAGTAAGTTACCCAAAAGTGGCTCTTAATCTTCAGCTGCAGGAAGGCAGAATGGCTCATGACTGATTCACTGGTGCTGAGCTTCACTCAGAGAAATGCCACTTGTCATGGCAGGGCTGTTTCCACATTTAACCATGCTGATCTCACCCTGCTACAGTCAGTCAGACATCCCAGACCGTAATTCCCCACCCTGAGACCAAGGTGTCACACTAAAACTCTCTGCTTTCAAATGCATGCATCTGGGAAGGCACTACTTGTTTTTGTTTCAAGTTTACACAACACTAATACAACAGGGTCTTGTTCCACAATTATAGTGCCTAGACTGGATAGTAATTACTCTTTTCAACTTCAGAAACTTTTCCCTAAGGCAGGTAAACCACAAAAATCTTCTTCCCTCTAAACCACACTCCAGTATTTCCAGGCTCCAACGCCCAAGGCATCACTTCTGTGCACTGCTTGACTGCCTTCTGAGACTGACTCCCTGTAAGCAATTGTTCTCTTAAGCTTGCCAAGCAGCAGCCTCTGGGCCCTACAAATGCTCACAGGGCTGGTGCGTGCAGCCCTGCAGGAATTTGTCCACAGAAACAGAGTTTGTTCACTTGCCAAGCAAGGCCTTCTGCGCGACTCTTCCCCTTTTCCTGAGTACAAGCTTAAGCACTGGATTCAGGCAGACAGAAATAAGTTTGAATTCTATTTATCCAGTAACCAGGGCTTTGGCAGAAGGAGATTTTTATTATGGACCAATTTCTATGTGTTGCTTAGCTTAGTTTTAACACCTAGTTTTAATTAGGAACAGGCTGTTAATAACTAATTTCTCCCTTGAGAAAACAGTAACACCACAAAGCAGCAGCAACTCATGTATTTGATTCCCGAAGAGTCACCTTTCCTGTATGCAGGCAGTGGTAAAGGTTTCATTCTCTCCAGGGCACTTCCAGTATAGGTTGCCAATGAGCACTTCAATCTCAACAATCCAAATACACAGAAGTACTGACACCACCACTTCCTTCATAGAGCAGCAGGCACAAAAACCCTTCATTTTCTGTTAACTGTTTTTCAGAAAGGAGCTAAAAAGCTGAAGCCAGGAGGAACTACATGAAACCATCAGCACAATGAACAGCATTGCTGTTGGTACAGCAGTGCTAGGAAGGTCCTGATGGAAAGAATGAAACAAGGCACGGGACAGCATTTCTTTCCAGTTTCCCCATCCCCACAGGTAGGCACCCAATAGTTACAGTCACTGATTCAGAGCTGTGTCCAACAAGGTATACCACTGGAGAGTGGTATAACACAGGAACAGATATTTACAGGTGTGCTCACCTCTCTGAAGAGGGGCCAGTTCACCTTTACAGCTAGAGACTGCCAACTAATACAGATCCTCCAAGAAGCCCATGTACCTAAGATGACTTCTACTTAGCAAAACACCCCTTAGAGATACTTATCCTACTGCTGTGATCACACCCTTGGTAGGGTCACCTGACTGGTAAACAAACAGCAAACCAGCATTTCCCAGCCGCTCCCTAAGGACTGACGCCTACCAGGACTGCCTAACGCAGTTTTGAGAAAGACTCCAGATGATCTCTCCAGGCAGGGAGAGGTCAGAGGGCCATCAGGCAGAACAGTAACTGCACACAAAGGTCACTTCAGCTATGTGCAAGCCTTTAACAGAAGCTTGTCTCCAAAACAGTAATTCTCTAGAGATTGTGTAGCTGACCATTAGCAAAGCTCTCCTTGACTATATGGAAGTATTAAAATGCAGACAAGATCCTCATCCTCTTAAAGGAGGATGATTCCTTTAAGTCTGCACGATGTTTCACTGCACTGTCTGGTTTCACCTTCTTTATACTGGTCTCCTCCAAATTCAGGCCAAGCTAAAATCCTGTAAATAGATACCCTGCTATACCCTTCCTCCTTTTTTTTTTTTTTTTTTTTTTAAAAAAAAAACTCTATTTTTCACATGTTCAGACAGAACAAAGTACCTTCCATATCCATTAGCTACTCCCTGTTCAGTTCTCAGAGGCCAATGCTACAGGACAAGCTTCTGCCAACACATCATTGCTGATCTAAAGGATAAGATTCCTAACCAACATGCTGTACCAGGCAGAAACCACTCCACCAAGAAAAATTTCCTTTTCTACTCCCATAGGATGTAGGAAATCTCTAATATTAAAGGAAACACAGATCTGTCCTGGTTAACATAATAGTATGAGATAATATTAATAAAAGAGTGCGTTGGGCTATCAAAGTCCATGCTATTTTTTCCTCAGTTGTTTTTCCTATGAGAAACTTTGCTTATAATTGCTGTATGTTTACAACAGTTGCTAGAATAATCGTGACATGCATGCTGCAGCTATATTTAACAGGCAGCTTCTAATAAGAGCAGAGGGAAGTTTGATAAAGAGCTACTAGGAATTGCTCTACAGCAGCCTGATTTCTTAGCTTAGTGAACAGCATAGGACCTGTTTCACACAATCAGCCTGCCTGCTTCCCAGTTCTCACAGAGCCAGAGAAAGCACTGTCAGAGCAAGGTGTTAACCCATGCAGACAGGGTGCCTCCAAGCTCACTGCCCCACTCTCCAAGCCTCTTCAGCTGCTTGCTTTCACACTGCCTACTTCCTATCCTGTTGCGTCAGTCTCTGCAAATAGATGCCAAGCTTGCCAGCAAATTCGTGCATCAGCAACTCACTTTTGTTGCCGTTCTCTTCTGCTTAACTGTTGTAAACAAGCTATTTCTTCCTAAATTGCTTAGACCCCAATAAAAGCTGTTATCTCTTCTCAACAGTCTCAATCTGCACTAAATTCAGTTTTTCCCAGTACTTAATCTACTTTCACCTGATCACATTTTTTCTGCACTCTAGACAAGATCAATAGTCCATCCTGTAGAATAGTTGCCTGTAACTTAAGGTATCTCTGATCACAACAGCAGGCTGAGGCAGTTCTCCCATTTAGGCTTTAAGTACAGTTGTTTTCTGTTTAGAACTTTATGTGAAAAAACAATGATCCAAACCCCAACCTCATCCAATGCAGAGTAAAGAACAGGGGAAATACTAGGGTAATAGTGTCTTTTCCCAACTAAACAAAACTGTGGCTACTCCATGTCAATAGAGCATTCTCCTCCTGTGATTGAGTCACCTTGTAACTCCAGAGCAAGGATCAAGTTTACTTGAATGTATTAAGAAATCTTAAGGTAGCAGTCATTTGCAATCAAGCAGCCTTCAGAAGAGGCCAGTTAGCTCTGTTCTAGCACTGAGCTTTCAGTGGTTCCTTGCTTCAGGACTACATAGTAGACCCTAATCTCCAAACAGCTGTGCCTCCTCCTTCCTTCCATTTGAAAGTAGCACTTTTTTTTTTTTTTTTAAGCCCAGCTGCAGTTTCACATACCTCTGTATATAAAGTAAATTCTTGGCTTCACTTTACCAACACTTAGAGTTCTGCAGGTCTCTTAGAAGGGGGAAAGGGAGATGAAGTTGGCAAGTATCTTGCCATCTTGATAAAATATACAGCAATCACGCGCCCAATGATTTCAAAATACAACATTTCTTCATCTCTGGTTGTATCAAGAAGGTATCTGGGTTTCCTCAGTAAAAGCTAGTTTACTGAAACTGTTGATTAGAAAGACTCTTAAAATCATTTAGGTTGGAAGAAAGTGATCTTGAGATCATTAACTGTAACCATCAACCTAACACTTCCACGTCCTCCACTAAAACACGTCCCCAAGGACCACATCTTTTAAATATCTCCAGGGACATCATTTTCACCCCTTCCCTGAGCAGGCCATTCCAATAGCTGATCACCTGATATTCACAAAGAAGTTTTCCCCAGTATCCAACCTAAATCTTGCCAGCTCAACTTGAGGCTGTCTCTTCACATCATATCACGTCACCTGAGAAGTGTGACTGATACCCTCCTCACTGCAGCCTCCTCTCAAGTAGTTGTAGAGTGATGAGGTTAAACAACCCCAGTTCCACATATCTTCTCGAGTCCCTTAACCAGCTTTATTGCTTTGATGAATGTTTCTGTTCCAAATATTCATACAATGCAGGCAAGAACCTAAATGATCATCAAGATATTTCTAAGTTCATTCAGTTCCCTGCTCAGTCCCAAACAGGCTGTGCAGAAAAGAATACTAGCAGGTTCATGAACAGCAAGTGGGAATAAGGTAAGATTCAGTACTACTATATCTCTTACATTAGAGGAAAAGGTAAAGCATCATATTCAATTTTTTCTAGTTTATGTTGTGGGCAGTTCCTCCACTTTACTGATAGCAAGGCTCTTTGCTCACCTTTTGCCAATAGAGCTAGGTTTACTTAATTTCTTCCTCACAGGAAAGCTTAAGCAACATAAAGATGTAACTGTAAGGCAAGACTCATATATACAACATAAGGGTAAAGCAGGCTGCAGTACCATATGAAGTGGCAAGACTATTGGTATGCAGTTACATAAGGTTACTTTGCAGAGTGTTTTGGGGGGGAAAAAAGCATGTTGGGGGAAAAAAAATGTTGTTTGCATTGGGGAAGTAGAGAGAATATTCATTACCTTAGATTCCCTTCCAAGCAACTTCAAGTCCTAGAAGCTTATAGCAGATTCAATCACTTCATAGTCCACTCCCAAAAATAACTATATCTCATATATATGAAATATATGACCTATTCTCTAGAGATACGCATTGAAAACAAGGCTGAAAAAGGGCAGCCATGAAGAATTGGCCTGCAATGTGAATATTTGTACTTTGCCCATTCTCCCCAGAGATCCTTGCTGCAACTTTTGTCGACTTTCATGTTAACTGCACAGAATCTGGTGTTTGGTTTCAGTCTCTTCAGCCCTTTTCAAATAAATTTTTAGATATCAAGCTGAAGAACAAGTCTATAAATATATTTCATATTTCAGGTGTTATCAACGAAATCCCACGAGAATACAACTGCCAGTGCAAAGTGCATATATTACAGAACAGATTTCAATTGCTGAGCATCACTGGAATGTCATTTGCTTCCACAGCACAGATAGAATCATATAGATTTCAGCTTCTGATCCTCAGAACCCAAAGTGACACGTGAGGAAAGCACACTAGAAATGTTAAAAAAAAAAAAAAAAAAAAAAATCAGAGCACAAATAGAGCAATCTCCCCCTCGTGGCTTCCAGAAGCAGCTCCTATCCTACAGCTCAGAAAACTAGGTTTTTTTTGGTTGCTGTTTGTGCTGGGGTAAAAGCCTGCTGGAATCAACATCCATATTTCACAGATGTTACCAGGCAGTGGTGGAGGCAGTGCTGGTACAAGAAAGGGCTGACTGAAAAACATCAAGAAACAAAAAAGTATTTATAATCATTCAAGAAGTGAAATATACTCATCTTCTCCCAGTCCTCAATGAAAGTTTCTTGTCCTTGTCAGAGCCAGGCATCAAGCCTATTTGCTCTGCTCAGCAAATGCAAGAGAGGCTTGTCTCAGCAACAAGGATACTGAGGGAGAAGAGGAAGTTAATGCCCACAGATAATCATTTATGGGTGACTGAAAAAGTTGACCATGTTCCCAATAGCCAAGTAGGCAAGTACCACACCTTCCTGAACACAGACGAGACACAGCTTGGACACACTCATAGCATGGACAGAGCTGAAGAGTTGCTGACAGTTTTGTTGCCTGCAGGAATTCTAAGTCTCTTAGCCTAGAAAAATTGTCTGGCAGGTCACAATAAACAACTGTAGTACAGGAGAACATGAAATCCTCACAAGCTTAATGCCTCTGGATACAGGCCCCTGCTACTAGAGAAGTCTCCCACATACCCCTTCTGTACTCTGCAATGCTTGGTGACAACCACTAGATTTAACAAATTCCAACTATCACAAGTCTGAAAGGCTCTTTCTCATTGTGCCATTCTGACAGAAGCAACCACTGACATTGAAATATGATTAGGATGCCAGTCACACGTATTGCCTCACAGCAATATCCAGCCTCAATCCACATTTCAGCTTGGAGGAACATGAAGCTATTGTACCAGTCATCAAAACAAAGCAGGATGATTACAGCAGGGGACACACCAGACTCTCTGCACTGACTTTACACTGTCTGCTGGAAAAGTTCTGCAACTATGGCCAGAAAGTATTTGGATGTTAATTAAACTTAATGATCACTATGCCACAAGGTAGCAGGCAAAAAATTGCCACCTAAACAGCTTCTGAACTGCTCTAAAGGATGCAGAACTCTTCTGCTACTTTTCAAAGAGCTAAAGCCCAAATTCTCTGTGGAAAAACTCCAGGTATACTAGTCACATTTTCTCTCATCCACTAAGGCTTTTTCTATTTAATCTCTCTGACACAGCTCCCTGTTATACAGCACCATCTACACCCATCATGCTAAATAAGTGGTGATAAAATAGCTTGCCTGATCAAAAAGTCTGTTCTAGAGAGATAAGAGCCCCTCAAAGAGCTTGAACAGCTCTGCTATTGTTTAGGCATTTCCCCATGAACTCTCATGAGCAGCCTAAATTCCCATATTACTGATCAGCTGATGGAAAAAATAGAGGCAGTTTATTATTGCTCTCTAATCAAGAGCATAGTTTTTTCCACTCAGGCTATAGGCAGATACTTTTAACTTTTGAGGTCCCCAGTTCAATCCCTGGATGGCAGCCATCACATGAACCAAACAGTTCAAGCCCTCAAAATGGCCAGAATAATGCAAATACAGTATATGCCATCCTGAAATACAGTAAGAGCTCCTAACAGAAGTTCATCGTGCCCCCATGTTGTGCCCAATCTGTTCAATCGGGTTTTGTAGTTATCTGCAAGGAACAGTAGTCACATTACAACTATACCTGACTGTACCTTTGAATTTGTTTCTATAGTTTTTTTGTTTGTTTGTTTTTTGGTTTTTTTTTGGAAGCTTGTGCTCATCTCATCCATGGTAAGATCAGAAGTTTCAAGCTAGCTCTCATATAATCCACAACAACCCAGAATGACTAAAATGCATCAGTCACTGTCCTGGGGAGAACTCAGTCTGGGCCCTCAAGATTTTCAGGCTCTTATGACCTGGTTGTGCACACAGTTTGCCAAAGACCTGCAGCATATCAGCCCAGCCCAGATACATGGGCACAGATAGGGAAGGCAGGAAACAAGTAGTCCAGCTCGTAGCCATTCTGTTCAGAGCTGCAACTGGAAGTACCATCCAGTAAATACGTTAGGTGACTTCTCACAAGGCACTATAATTAACACAAAACTCTGTCAAAGAACAACAGACCGCCTTGCGGAGTACAGCGTACACCTCATGGAAAGGTGAATCCTGCCCAAAAAAGGAATGTGCTCAATTACATAATGCACAGGGAGAAGCTCCATTTTGACTCCACCCAGAAAGCAGCTCACCTGCAGCGAGGAGCAGCTGGACCCTGTCATTTTAGCCCACACGCTGCAGAGGTGCATTCTGCTCCCATTACGCACCGAGAAACATTTCAGTTGTCGTAGGGCTCAATGACTTCTCAGTGACATCTGAATTCCAGGGTGGAGCGGGAGGCTCTGCTAGTATTGTGCATCACAATCAATTACCACAGTATCAGAAACTCCTTCGTGCAAATTAGATTAGCAGTGAAGCTGAAAGGAAGAGGTTCACATCTCATTGCTGAAAATTGGGAGCACCCACTGGGAACAGAGCTTATGGTGTGAATGAAAAGGCCACAGCATGTGTCCAGAGGTGGCCAGCTAACCTCCTCCTCACCGCCGAGGGGGGAGCCGGGCGGGGGACAACGCAGAGCTTTTAGAACTGAGGCAAGCAAAGAACACATTGTTGGCACAGAAAGTTGTGAAACTGGTTAATGCATTTGGGCCACGCTAACTTCATTTATTGATGGTCTTGTGGAGATGGCAGATCCCTCCTCCTGCGAGCAGCAACAAATCACAGACCGAGTGCTGGCTATTCAGGCCCACTAATACCTCCGAGTTTATCAGCTTTCTCCCGCCCAGGGCGGGCAGGACACGGTAACCCCAGCGGCGTGCCATAGCCCGGCACCGCCCGGCTCTGCCCCACCGTGACACCGAGACCGCAGCCTCCCGCCGGGCGGGGAGGGAGAGGGCAGCAGGAGCGGGGCTGCCCCGTTCCTCACGGCAGGGGCACGGCGAGAACCCCCGCGCCCGGGCCCCAGCGAGGCCCCTTCCCCCGGGGAAGCCGTTCTGCTCCTCAGCCGCGGCGCCGCCGGAGCCCGCGGCTCCAGTTTCAGAGTGGGAAGCGGCCCGCGGCGGAGCCGACACAAAGGGGCCCCTGTCCCCGCCGCGGAGTGGAGGCGTCGGCTGCGGAGAGCGCGGGCGAGGAGCGGGGCGGCCCGCCGAGCCCCCAGTGGTGCGAGCCACCGGGCACCCGATAAAGGTCAGATCGGTGGCCGGGCCGCGCGGGGCTCCTCCGGGAGCCTTCCCCAGCCGCACGGCAGCCCGCCGAGCCTCGCCCTCAGGCAGCGCCTCACGCAGCCGCCGCCTCCTCTCCACGAGGAAACTTCTCCCTCGCGACCGCCGCTAAGCAGCCGGGAGCCCCGGCACTCCGCAGAGAGCCGGCCCGGCGGAGGACACCTCGCTTACCTCACCGGCAGCACGGTACGGCACAGCCCGGCGGTCAGCAGGCACCTGGGCCGAGCGGGACGGGCCCTCCCCTATTTCAGCCGCGGGACGCAGGGGCTCCCGCCCCGCCCCCAGCAGCTGCCGGCAGGGCGGGCCCGGCGCTGGGGGCAGCCCGCTGGCGGCGGGGCAGCGCCGAAGAGGCTCCGTCCGCTCCGCCCTCTCCCGATCCAATTAACGGGCCCTGCCCGGGCAGGTGGGGTCGGGCGGGGGGCAGCGCCTCGGTGCTGGGAGTTGGGTGACAGGGAGCCGCGTGGGACAGCCGGGAGGGGACGGAGCCTCGCTCGTAGGAGGCGGGAGGTGCCGGGCCGAGCGCCCCGTCATGGCGGGCGCCTGAGGGGGTGGAAGGCGGCTCGGTGTGGAGGTCGCAGGTTCCCCGAGCCCCGTTGTCCTCGGAGCCTGTCCCTGCGTTCTGGGTGAGGCACTGGTCGCTCTCCTGGAGGTGGGCAGCAGCTTCAGCACGGCGGCCCGCTCCCGCAGAGCTGACCGCTCACTTTCTCTTCTGGAAACCTTTCCCTAAGTAATCCAGACTCATCTTTCAGTGTCCCGGTCGAAGCCAGCTTTTTAGCAGTACCAGGGGCTGCGGGCCAGAGTTTCCATCCCCAACGCCAGGCCTGGGTGGGGTTTGCCATGACGCCGGGGCAGAGCTCATAGCAGAGCTGCAGGGCCATGCTGGCCCCTCTCACCACTTCCAAAAGTCCTCAAACCTGGCTCCAGGGACCAGCTGTGCGTTCGTGGTGATGTTTATTCAATCAGCAGAGAAAGGAAAGAGTGAGAGAGGAAAAAGCACGCTATAAATCTGCACTGCCTCTGGAGTCCCTTCCCAGTGGGAACTGGAAAGGTTTGTCTGGTCCTTGGAGTTAATCAGTGTTAAGGTTTAAGCATCAACTCTGCATTTTACTTAAAAATAATGTTAAAAAAAATAATTTATTTGGCATAGATATTCCCTAATTCAAGTATGAGATATGAACACCACTATCAAATTTATGCAGATTAATGGGGTATAGAAAGAGCAAAAATCTGCTACTCCTTAATACTTTATGCCAGCATTTACCCAGCTTTCTGTTATACCAGTTGTGGTACAGATACCTCATGCACTGAGCATCTGAGATAATGCTTTCCACATGGGGTCTGCTTGCCCCCAGTGCTAAGTGGCAACGGTACTGTGTAACACTGCTGCTTCACTCCTTTCCTTCCTTCCCTCTAAAGCTGGAATATTGTAATATGGCTAATACAATAGCAATACTTTTTGTTTTTCTGGTCCAGGACAGCTTAGTAAAGATCATAGGCTAGAAAGAGGCCAGATAGCATGATACTTATTCTCTTTGCTCTCTTTGGGGTTGTATCTTTTTCCTTTTTTTTTTTTTTTTTTTTTTTTTTTTTTTTTTTTCTTCTTTTTATCAGAATGTAGGCTTGCTTTCTTATGCAGGCCAAACTCAAGTTGTTGTAATGGTACTCTTTACATCACAGTCAGACTAAAGTAGCCAGAAATGTTCGTGCTTTGGAAAAAGGTCCTGGCAACAAGGAGGCAAAATACTGTCCAGTATTACAAATACCACAGAGATGACAGTCTTAGTCATAATATAGCTTTACCAAAGCTGGCAACAGGATGTCTTAATTCTGTGATAGAGAATTGAGGTCTGTAACTGACTGTATGTTGGACAGAAGGCATTGTGAAAACAAGGCTTGTACTCTACCCATGGGTAATCACACTCCTCTACCTTGGCTGCACACAGGAGTTTGAAGAGTGTGAGCCTATGCACACATGTGAGAATATTCTTTTAGAATTACTCCTTCCCTGGCCATCTCAGAGTGCCACACCTGCTCAGTGCTGGCATGTCAATACCAATTGGTGGCACCCTGGGCTGGTGGCGTGTCTTCTGCGCATGGTTTGCGATCTACTGTTCTTGTCCTTAGTGAATAATGATTACGGAAATAATCTGATGACTCTCCAGAGAAAGCAAGCTCAGTGTTAGTAATTGATAGAAAATGCTAACCATGACAGCTCAGTGAGGAAACACAAGGGCTGCTGTGCACATTCGCTGTGTGGGGAAGCATATGAACACTAGAGGATGAAGGAGCAGGATGGGAAATGCACATCTCTGCTCAGATGAGCTGGATCACAGCATCACAGCTTGCTTTGGGATTAATGAGTTGATCACTGAAAGCAACGTGAGGATTTCAGTGTTTCTGGCATGGAAATTACCCCTTGGAAAGTACGTAAAAACTAAAGATGTTCATGTTTATGCCATTGGTGATTTCTGGTCAACTCCTCAGATCCCAGCCCTGATGTCGGGACCCTGTGCACACCTGTGGCAGCACTGCTGACTGCCATCAAGACAAGGAGGATATTTTTCTGCAACAGTTTCCTTTCTTGTAAACCAGGCCTTTGTGGTACCGGAGGAAAGCAGGTGAGGACTACTTTCGATTACTGCCATTGCTACTTTTTGGTGGTGGGCATAGCTCTCAGGAGAGCGCTGTGCTGCAGAAGTGCTGTGTAAGAGCTGGCAATGCCGGTCAGGTTGGTGTATGCCTTCAAAACCCGGTTGTGTCGTCTGTCGGTCGGTTTTTGTAGGTCATCCTGACAGCTGCAGGATGCCAGCAGCTAACACAGTGTTGTTGCGGTTCAGCAGAAAAGCCCGGAGATTGGCTCTTCGTCGTACTGGCGGCGAGCCCTGCCGAGCGGGGCCGAGGGGCGCAATGACCGCCGCCTCCGGGCTCCGTTCCGCTGCCGGGGCCGCCGGCCGCTGCTCCCCCCACTTCGCTCCCCGCCCCGGTTATGAAACCTTCGGGGAGGGGCCGGCTGCCGCCCGCCGTCCTCGGCGGCACTGGGGAGCGGAGGTCGGGGGAGCGCAGGTGAGAGCGGGGCGGCCCTGGGGAATCCCAGCCGTGCGGGGATGGGAATTTGCGCTGCGGTTACCGCGGCCACCTCCGCGGCAGTCGCTCGCGACTCTTTAACCATCGGCATCGAGGAGGAGAGCCTGGCAGGGCCCTCCGCAGTCAGTGGGCCCACGGCGAGGAGCTGCCGGCTGCGAGCGTGTCTGGCGCTCAGAGCAGGAGCCCGAGCCGCGTATCGGGCTGTGAGCGGCCGCTGGGTAGGAAGTGTCGTCTGAACACGTGGTGGAAAAGCAGTCAGCCTTGACCGGCTTGGTAACGGCTCTGATCTCTTCCCTAGCGAAATCTGAAGAGCTTGCTGTGAGCCACCAGAGAAACAGTAGGGCATTATGTGGTTGCACAGATGTACTTTATGCAGATCTGTGGGTTTTAGGCTAAAACGTTCTGTAGAAGCACATCTGTCAAAACATACTCTAGTGTTTTAGGATGCATTCGTTTTCATGTGGGAACAAAGAAGAGCTTATTGAACCTGTTCCTTTCCCCAGCAGTGCACAACAAAAAGCTACTGTCATCCCGATGAAAGGGGCACAAGGTACAGTTGCTACTTCCAGGCCACTGGGGTGTGCTTCACTCCCGTTTTCCTCTGTCTTCTGTGTATGGCAGTCTTACCTTCCATGCTTTGTTTGCTTTTAGTGGTCAGACAGAATGGCTCCAGTGAACCAGCCCAAGGACAAGAAGCATGAGAAGACATATTGGTCAGAAGAGGCAAAATCAGCTGGGAAAAGGAAACTGGACTACGAAGGACTGGAGAATGTACCACTAGCAAAGAAATTGTTTCTGAGGAAAACATCCAAAGCCCAAGAGAAAATTGGTAACATTTCCTAAGGTTCTTGCTCCCAGCCAGATTTACCCTAAATCCCAGGCATTAACTAGTTGAAGAGAGAGGATGCCAAGAAACATGGTCAGATGCGATATTTCAGATAGGGCTGTATATTGGAGGTATAACACAGACAGCACTGGCGTAGTACATCCTCCAATTATCTGTCTAGTTGCACTGTGTCTTTGTACACAAGTCTCGTTTTTGAGATTCTGTCCCTTGATAGAAGCCTGCTTACTGATATTACTGTCACAGCCCACTGCAGAGTGGTTAAGTTCCATGGAATTCCCAAGTTAGCAGACATCTGCTTTAGTGCAGGACAGACTGACCTTGGCCACATATCATTCTTTCTTCCATACAGTCCTTAATGCAGTTTCATGGTCGTAAGTTTGGTGTTCTACAGCATGCAGCCTAAACTGGCCTTTCCACCTAATCCTTTGTATTCTAACTTTCTAAAGTGAGAAGGTATACTAAATACTTCCTACCTCTATGTTCAGATTAGACTGGACAGAATTTCCACTAATCACTTTTCATGTTCTTTTTCTTTCCCTCTGATTTGTAACTTAAAGATGTCTTACATTTTTTATTGAAAGAGAGAGAAGTGATTTAAAGATGGTGGGAAAACCTGCAGTAACTAAAAAGTTGTTTAGACTTCAGTTATTGTAAGGATTGATTTTTGCATATGTTGAAAAAAAAATTATTGTATTTTTAGGACAGGTCCAGTTTCTTGCAATTGAAATCTGTTTTGAAAGGGTTTGTTACAGCAGATGCTAAACAGGCCTAGAATTTGTTCTTAATAACTTATCCTTTGAAATAAAACTGAATCTGAAAAAACTCCCCATCACCTTTGAAGAAGGAACTGTGAATGTTAATTCTTCTGTGGGGAAAAAGAAAGGAATTAAAATATCAATCCTTCTGTTCCCATTTCAGCAGGTGTGGCATGTTGGCTCTGTGTTGGCATGTGAATGTAGAGGCTTAGTCTTGCATTTCTGCATTTCTTAGCTCCAGGGTTGCATTAAAGGAAGACTTTGTTTAGGTTCTAATTGCACGCAATGATAGTATGATGTTGCTCTTCTGTTTCTTCATTAATGCCTTTACATTAAAGTAGCTTTTTTGTTCTTTAAGAAAGACATCTTTCCCATTTGACACCTAGATCTGTTGGAGTGTTACAGACAATTGCCATGGGGATGATTAGATCACAGATGTGGGACTGAGCAGATCTTGTTTTTATGTAAAGGTCCCTGAAGATAAAACTTGGAACATGGACAGAACGTAGAAGCATGCTGTGCTTTCAGCAAAAACCACCCTGAACAGAAAGGTTTTCACGCAATGAGGCGTCAGCAAGTCTATTATCAAAAACAAAACTCACAGTGCTCTGGACAGACTGTATGAGCTACAGCACAAGCAGATAGAAAATTCTAATTCACATACAGGCATTTCAGAAACTGCATGGGAAGTCATGTTGCTACGCTTTGGGAGTTTTCAGATGTAACATTTCTGACTGATCTTCCACTGTACACTTGGGCTCATCCCCTCCCATCATGTATTTCCAGGTTGTTGGAGCTTTAGATAGATTCCAAGTATGAATCACTCAGGTTCAATACTGTCCCAGAGATGCACCACCAGAAGATTTGCTTTCATCCTCTCTTTGTCTTTCTGGCAAATCTTTGATGAGGAAAAGGAAGATTTAATGTGCAGAGGCGCACACAAAGCTCTGGCAGCCTATGGGAAGCACTGGACTCCGTAGGCTGCAGAGGCTGCTTGCAACTTAGGCATGTTTTGAGTATTTTTTTCTTGTGGCTGAAGCTTGTCATGAATTTAACAGAAAATGCGGATGTTTTCCCACGTTGTTTAGTGAATGAACACAATGGGCATTGGGCACTGGCTCTCAGTAACTTTCACTCATTTTCCTCTCTGGCAGGTTGGAATAGAGGTGGGACTGTGATGAAAAATACCAGAGCCTTTTTCCATCAGCCAAAATGGCAGTGCAGCATTGTTCATTATGTCTACCAGAACATGCTGGGAGGCTCCATCCGGGCACAGCTCAGGCAGGTGAGGAGTTCCTCCTTATGACACATTAAACATCTCATCTCTGTACAAAAAAAAATAAAAATATTTTGAACACAAGTGAGGAGACTTTAAAGAGGTTTAATGCTCACATACACAGTTTGTGGCTCCAGATCTGGCACACTCTTATGTTTCTTAGTCCTGTAAAATGCCAGTACTGGGATGACTGTCCCTTTAGTTGCGGTAGCCTTGTTGCAACATTTTACCCTGTATTCATTCTGTGCTTCTTTTAATTATATTTGAACTGTGCTCACTACCATTTAGGTTATTGCACAGTGCTGCCTTTGCACACTGATGTAACTGTTTTGTCATATTATTTTTGCATCTGCTCTGCTTCACTAATCATGTATAATTTAATGTTGATTTCTCTTTTTCACAGACAAATTCCCTCAAGTCCATAATCTTTGTCCTGATTTTCAGAGTCATGCTCCTTTCATTTGAAAGTTAACTTTTTCTGTGATATCCATAGGTGGGAAGCACCTAGACTAGCTTTATCTTTCAGATGATTTGTCTATTTTAAGTATCAAAATGCTAAAGAAATCGCCATCATCACCCAAGCAGTACCTGTTCTTCAGCTGAATAACAACAGAGTTGTGTTATGGTTCTTCATTCTCTGTTTTGCTCTTGTTCACTCTTACGCTGTATTGCTGTGCTTCAAGCGGTTTGGATGGAAGGCTCTATTATTGTATCTCTAGGTGATGAATAATATTTCAGGATGCTCAGTGCAGGCATAGTCATCAGTTTCTTTTTCTGGTGGGAGATGTGTTCTCCTCCATTGTGTCAGCTGCCACTATCAATACAAGCTGGGGAACAAAAGGAAACAGCATAGCCCTGCTGAAAAGGATTTGGGGTAGTGGTGGATGGCAAGCTGGACACGAGCCTGCAGTGTGCCCTTGCAGCCCAGAAAGCCAGCTGTATTCTGCACTGCATCTAGAGAAGCAAGGTCAGCAGGTTGAGGGAGGTGATCTTGCCCCTTTACTCGGTGTTGATGAGACGTCACCTGGAGTACTGCATCCAGATGTGGAGTCCTCAGCACAGGAAAGATGCACATCATGACCAGAAGAGGGCCACAAAAATGGCCCAAGGGATGGACCACCTCCCCTACATGGACAGGCTGAGAGAGCTGGGACTGTTCAGCCTGGAGAACAGAAGGCTCCAGGGAGACATGGGAGTGGCCTTCTTGTATCTAAAGGGGGGGCTACAAGAATGAAGGGGATAGACTCTTTAGCAGGGTTATTGTGATAGGAAAAGGGAAAATGGTTTCAAACTAAAAGAGAGGAGATCTAGATTGGATATAAAGATGTTGTTTTTTACAGTAATGGTGAGGCACTGGAGCACGTTGCCCAAAGGGGTGGTGGATGCCCCGTCCCTCGAGACATGCAAGGTCAGGCTGGATGGGGCTCTGAGCAGTGTGATCTACCTCTAGGTGTCCCTGTTCATAGCAGGGGAGTTGATCTAGATGACCTTTTGGGGTCTCTTCCAGCTCAAATGATTCTATCATTCCCCCTTGTTTAGTATTAGTTATCATGCTATTTTAACTCAACCTAAAATACTTAGCTCCCTGCACATCATTTGAAGTATGTATCTCTCATGCGTCTGTTATTTTTGAGAACTATAGCTGATGTGGTTTTGTGTGGTCACAGGCTGCTTGCCTGGGGAACAGTGTGTTCTCTTCATTGCACGGAGGGACTTAGCATTTTGTGTGAGTGTGCTAAGGCTGGTGGTGATTAGGAATTGTTAGCACTCTGCATTCAGAGATATTCAGGGATCCCTACAGAAGTTATTATTCTCTTTTATCTTTGTAACAGTGTCTACAGCTGCCCTTTCTGCGTTCTCTGACCTCATACCGCCTGTTTCGAACAGCGAGTCCCTTTGACAGGAGAGTGACTTGCCTGGAGTGGCATCCAACACACCCCAGTACTGTAGCTGTTGGTTCCAAAGGTGGAGACATCATTCTTTGGGACTATGAAGTACTTACTAAAACCTGCTTCATAAAAGGGGTAAGTCGCTGCGTGTGTGGAATGGGAAGGAATGGAAAACTGAAGCACGACCAAATATTTGCAAAAATGACATCTGTTGTATAAACATAAAGGCCCAAAACTGAAATGGAGATTGAGGAGTAGCGTAACAATTGAAATGTACCAGCAAGTCATTCTTAAGTTCCAGATTGTTCTAGTGCTGGGGAAAACAGAGATGTATGGATTAAAGTCATAATGAAACAATACTTGGTGTGTGTTCAGTGAGAAAATAAGTCAGCAATTGGCAAAATAGTAATTTTAAAGGGATGCCAGAAACAAGTACTCAAAGGAAGTCTGTCTTAGGTCTTGATCTTTTTCACCTTTTATTGTGTCAGATGAAGGAAAAAACATCTTTGAGTGGAGAGTGGAGAAGTCTCTTGATCTGAAGTGAAAAGCTGAACTACAATGGGTGGCTTACATAGCTGGCATGCCCATGTTACTATATTCAGCCACTGTCATTCCTACCGAGACTTGAAGAGACTCTTAACTTTTGTCCTTTTGTAAATTAACATAGCTGTATGCTGGGGGGGGATATATCCTCCCAGAATTCCAGAGTCATCTTTCTCTTTTTAATACTGTGGTGCCAGCCAGCCAAGGAATACATTACCTGGGGACTGGAGGAGTTACAGTTTTATTCTGTGGAGGGGCGGCTGCCCAGACAGCTGCCATGTGGGAAAACATGGTGGTTGGTATGGTTGTCTTTGCCTCCCGGAGGGCTGTACTGTGATTCTCTGTTGCTGTTAAGAAATAGCAGTGAATGCAGATTTAGAGAACGCACTTCCCTCCTTCCCCATCACTCAGTGGATTTTTCTCTTGTTCATCCCCTTCCTTGTAGATGGGAGCTGGAGGGGCCATCACAGGAATGAAGTTTAACCCTTTTAACCCTAGTCAGCTGTACACTTCATCAGTTGCCGGCAGTACCATCCTGCAGGATTTTAATGGCAATACTTCCCGGGTCTTCACCATCACCGAGAACTGGGAGTAAGAATTACAGCAATGTTTTGGGCTTCCAGGAGCACTATAAAAAAAAGAGAGAGAAAGGGAGATGCTTGACTCTATATATGGGAGCGGGATTTCTTCTCCATATTCATCTCCTTTGTCCTCTGAACTTCAGTGCTGTTCTCTGTAGTCCAGGAAGACTCACTCTCTTTATTTTTCTCTGAAATGGGGTGGTGGGTAGGAGAGAGCTTTTCTTCATTAAGGGGAGGGCTGTAGATGCTTGCTTGCTTACTACTTGTTACACAAGGGAGTGTGGGTTGTGCCAATGGGTTTCTTCAGCTGTAAGTTCTGTCACTCTGCCCTGGGGACCTTCTAACCTCTTGACCTGGTGCAGTGCTGCTCACTGCCAGATGATTTTTTGCTGAGCAATTTCTTGTGCCCCCAGTACTTCTCCACTAACACCACTGCCTTCAAGTGGTGTCATAAGGATTCTTCTGATTCATTCCACCTAACTTTCAATGCTTATATAAAATGCCAAAACTAAGAGTCAGTGGAATGAGGAGATGAATCTCCAGAGGCAATTCTATCTGCCCGTGCTTAGAATCACCCTCTCAGTCTATTTGTGGACCCACGAGGAAGCCTGAACTCTTCAATTAGTTAATTCTGCTCAGTGTTGAAAGCTAAGTGAGGAGAAATTGGGTTAGCCTGCTCTTTACATTTCTCCATCTGGCTATTTCTGGTAGCACCTTTTGTGGTTGGTTTCCAATCTGGCTGTTCCAGCTGCACTCTTGTCTTAAGACAGAAGGCGATCCTTAGTGGTGCTGAGATGCTAGCTAGGTGAACAAGGCGGGATAGACCTTGTTCTGGACCCACCCTGGGACAAGATCTTGTATCCCAATGGAATGCCTATCAGAGTTATGCCTAGATACACCATCCTTCTTCCACTACTGTGAGGGCAGACAGGCTCTGTAACTGGGCCTTTTTTTGTCTTCCCTGGCCTCTTAACAGCTAATATTTACAGTGCATCTTTGTTAAATGGCTGCTGTGTGAGCATCAGAGTGACACTTGAGTACCAGAGTTTGGGGACTCCCAGTCAGCATCCTTGTTTTCCGTCTTTGTTTCTGTAGGATTTCCACGTTTCCTCAGAGGAGAGAAAACAGCTGGGAGAAAACAGCTCTGGCATGAGGTTCTTGTGCCTTGTAGTTAGCAGTAGGATTTCTCTTGGCACTACTCTTGTTTTTCCTGGGGAGACCTTGAGTAAGACCAGATAAAGCAATGGAAGTAGCCTGTGGTGAACTGGTAAATGAAGACAGTGTAAGAGAGCTTAATGTAGGGTTGTCATAAGATTTTATGTGGTTTCTGCATGGAATAGTGTTGTATTTTTCTTGTAATCTCCTAAGCTGGTCTGAGTGAGGTGGTTCACTGCACATTTGTCCTGCACCCAGTGCAGAGGAAGCAGTGCTGCTAATGAGGTTTGCAGCCCAAAGCACTGGGGCTGAACCTACAGATACAGTATGTATGTGCTTAGGTGGAAACAGATCAGAAAGTTCTTGTGAGTGTCCCCTGCCAGAAAGCTGTGCATTGCACCTGGAGAATCCTGCAGCGTGTTCCAGAAAGATGGGTTGTATTAAGATTTTTTCCACTCTAACCTTGATACCGTTTGGCTTTGTATGTATTCCAGAAAGGGCCAGGAGATTCTCTTGGAGACATCAAGTTCAGTCCTTATGAGGCAGTGAAGCTTTATGTGGCATCGGGGGATGGCACCCTAAGTCTGCAGGATCTTGAGGGCAGAGCGGTGCAGGTGATCTCCCGTGTCCTGGACTGTGGCCATGAGAACCATAACGTTTGGTGAGGAAGGAGCAGAGTGAGGTTGAATCTCTGCTCTGTAATGCTGTGTTAATGCTGTGGCTCTGGTCATGTGAATGTACACTTCTTTGAAGGTTTTAGGAGATTCTTGATATGAACTGGTCTCGTGAGGGAGCTCACAGGTAGGCTCCTGGGCCCACTCCAGCACTACAGGGTGGGTGATAAGCCAGGCAGCCACAAGGCTTTTAGCTTTTGCGGTAGCTGAGCACGCTGATCCACCTTCTGGTGTTGCTTTCTGGTGACACCATCTCCCATCTTGTAGATACTGACAGTGCTTCACTGTGTAATGTACAGAGTAACTTTCTTCTCCTCTTTGTGATCAGTGTTTTGTGTTTTCTGTGTGCAACTCAGGCAGGATAGGAATTCCAAAAAAGCCTTCCTTCAGAATCTGAATTTCATCTTACTGGGTTTACCCTACTGTCCTGTGAAGAGTTCAGGCTCACCATGCTAATTTCTTCCATCTTGAATTCAAGAATAATTTAGCTCTGCAAGTGAAGCAAGTGAAGGAACACAGCTTTACTCTCGTTGGGCCTACCCCCTCCCCAGCAGAGGCTGTGGCTAAGAAGAATGTCTTTATCAGATAAGCCTCTATTCTTGTTTTTTTCTAGGAGCATAAAGTTCAGATAGTTTAGAAATGCAATTTTCTAGTCCAGAGCTCTTGTTTTTTTCTTTTCCGTTGCTTCCTGTTTTGTGGAAAACCTTTTTAAAAGCCATTTCTATATATTTGCCAGTGTCACTTGGGTGTGTCCATGTGAAGTTTCTGAATGACTTTTCAGCTTCTATTATATTCCACTGTCCCAACATGCCACACTCCCATCTATTGAGCACTTCATAGATGCCTTAGGAATTATTTCATATTCAGTCACCAGAAGCTAGCATTGCTGATAAGCCACCCCCTTTCCTGCTGTTCAGGGCCATACCATCAGATCAGAGAGAGGATGACAGATGCAATCTGTTGCATTCTCCTTTGTCAGAGACAGGGATAAGGTGTGAACTAGAGCTCTGCTGCCTTCACCTGCCTGTGGGAGGAAGCACTGATTTTGTCTCTTTCCCTCTAGTTGCTGGTACTGCAGTGTTGATGTTTCTGCAAGCTGCCGTACTGTGGTGACAGGTGATAATTTGGGCAATGTGGTCCTGCTCAGCACTTCTGGTGAAGAGGTTAGTATGGCTTCACTAAGTGGTTTTTTGGGGGGGAATCTTCATGGCTTGTGTTCTTTTTTCCAGGCCCCTGTAGTGTAGGAAAGTACAAGTGCCTTGCAGTTGAGAAGATGAGTCTGCCACTGTTTAGGTGGTGAGATTGTTTGTGCTTCTGCCAACTGGCACTGTAATAACAATTTTCAGACAGGAACTGTGTGATGTGCTGCCCCTTCCTTCAGGGTATTTGATGCTGGGCAGAGTAATTACAGGGCAACCTGTAATATGTACATAAATGCCCTCTGCCAGCAACCTTCATGCTTCCAAAAACAGTGCACTGGTGGAGGCCGTTTGGTGGATACTGCTGTGATAGATACCCTTCTGCAAGTACACCACAGCAATTCAGTGAATGTTGGGATAGAAATTGCACTACTGCTGTTAGGCAGGAGAGGGCAGGCACAGCCAGACTGGAGTTGTGCAGAAACCTATTAGAGAACAGACTTGGAGTTGGTCCTGCTTATAAGAACCTGCTGTACTGTCAGACTGGAATTACCATTTCTCCTGCCTACAGGGGTAACATCAAGGGTAAGAATTTACTGCCCAGTGTGCTGTGGCCAGAGGCAGTTGTATAAATTAGTGAGCAGAATTATAAATACTCTGTATGAGTTGTGCTCGTTCTAAGCTACTTGTTCCATTTTTTTTTCTTCTGAAAGAATGTGACAAAAGTCTTTTCTTCACTTGGGAGATACCCATTAGATAGATGATCTCCCAATAGAGATGATGGACCAACTTCACTCAGTTGATTAGAAATAATCTTTTGGTGTCCAGTATAAATGTTTCAATTGATAATTGAAATATTTTGCTTCCTTTATGTTTAATTTTCTCATATATTTCTAGAAGCCAATTACATCCTCTGTCGTCTTTCATTTTTATTAAAATAAAGAAAGCAATTTTTTTGTATCTTCACCAAAGCAGTTCTCTTCCTTCTTGTTGCTGTGTTGGCAGCTCATCTGTGTATCAGTTCCAGTTGTTTTAGTCTTTTTGTCAGTGGAAAACTGGTACTGCATGAAGTGTTCCAGATGAGGTCTTGCTTTGTACCGTGGTACTAATACTTTCCTCAGTGAACCAGGGATTGCATTTTTCTTTCCTGTAGCTGTAATAAATTGATGGATTAGTGATTCTTCCAGAACTGAATAGTTCCAAGGTCACTTTTCTCCATTCTTGCTCCCACAAGGTAAACTCCTAGTGTATTGTAGTCAGTTTTATTTTATTCTCTAAATGTCTGGCCTCTTTACTCTGCACTAGTAGATTTTTCTTCAATTTCTCTACTCTAGCTCATGATTTTTTTTTTCCTTTGTGATTTTCTATTTGCTGCAGATTTGGAGGCTGAAACTGCACAAGAAGAAAGTGACTCATGTGGAGTTTAACTCTCGATGTGAGTGGTTATTGGCCACAGCATCTGTGGATCAGACAGTTAAAATCTGGGACCTCAGAAACATTAAAGACAAAGCAAATTTTCTTCACGTACTTCCTCATGACAAACCTGTCAATGCAGGTGAGTTCCTGAGATAAGGATTTTGTTACATGTATGTCTGCTGAGTCTCCCATCCGTGTATTTTTATTGCTTTCTTTTTCATCTGAGTTTGTATCCAAATTATTTTGGATTCTGTCTTGCTTTTATTCCACAAAACCATGAGATGGTGTTCTTGTTTTGGAGCAAACCTCAATACAATCAGATTCAAATTGTTCAAGTTCCATGTAATTTTTAAATGCAAACATTGAATATTAACATATCTAAAAGTGCTTTGGGAGAAGGTTAATGTAACTATAAAAAAAGGCTAACCTGTTCTGTTTGTTTTTTTTTTTTTTTTCCCACCTTCTGAGTAAATTATTTTTAATTGCTGTTAGTGGTATTAGTGGTAGAAGCATACTTAAATGTTTTGTTCTGTTTATGACAGGCAGCTTACAGCTTAGTACTTCCTAAGGTATTGCCCTTCAGGTTTAGTAGACAGTGTGGTTTCATGGCAGCTTAAACAGATCTGAAGAGGGCTGCCTCGGAGGTTTCCCCCTACACTCAGCCATATGCTGCACTCTGTTCTTGTGCTGGCTTTTGTTTTCAGAGGCTGTGTGTGGCAAGACAGGGTAGAGATCGAACCTGAGAAAAGCAGATCTGAATATACTGGGACAGTCCCTTTGATAAAAGCAGGATGTGGGAGTTAGGGCACTGTTCCTTGACTGCAGTTCTACCAGTTTGTATCCATCTGTGCCATGTCTCTTTTGTCATCTTCCTATCTCATGTACTTGTGACTTTCTATCTGAGTGAACAGGTTCCTTTGTTTGCAGTGTTTGTTTACGTGACTCTAAAATGAGAATAGTGATTCTCCCTGTGTAACCCAGTGTGGTAGGTTTCAACTTACTGTAAGAGCTGTGAGTTTGCTTGAGATGGGTGAAGCCTTGTCTCTTGAGATGCACAGCCGCATTCATATCATAGTTTATGGTTTTCCAGACAAATATGACTTCTGTGTTTCATGTCAATCACAGCATTGTGATCTTTGGCTTACTGTCCCCCTCTCTAGCTTACTTCAGCCCAACAGATGGTGCCAAGCTGCTGAGCACAGACCAGCGCAATGAAATCAGGGTTTACTCATGTTCAGACTGGACCAAGCCTCAGCATCTGATCCCACACCCACATCGGCAATTCCAGCACCTCACACCTATTAAGGCAAGTTAAGTCGCTATTGTTTGAGAAGAGTATTGCTGCTGGTGCTAGCAGCAGGCTTTAAAATAAATGGTCTGGTTTCTGGTCAGGATATAACACTGGTGGGTGGATGTTCATACTTCTGCAACTTTTGCAGAGCACCTTCTGAGGACGCTCCTGTTGCTCAGGCCGTGGGTGGGATGCCCAGGCTGCTGCTCACACTGCTGGCTGTCTGCTGTGCATCAGCATCAGCTCTGCCCTGCTCTCTAACTCTCCATTGCTCTGTTCTATGACTAGGCAACATGGCATCCTCGCTATGATCTCATTGTAGTGGGTCGCTATCCGGACCCGAAGTTCCCAGGCTACACAGTGAATGAGCTGAGAACTGTTGATATATTTGATGGAAACACCGGGGAGATGGTTTGTCAGCTCTATGATCCGAATGCATCTGGTATAATCTCGGTGAGTTGGGCACTGCAGCTAAAAGTATTTCTGAGTATTGATATGCAGCCAAGAGAGAGGTTTCAGGGATTAGAACAACAGGAATGTCTGCTTTACTTGTGACAGACTCATGCTCTCATGGGGTTATGACTGCCGGCTAAAGCTGCTGACTCGAGCAGGGCTGTTCTGTGGTCATCTGTAGGTTTCCTGTGATGCTCTTTAGGGAACATTCTGCTTTCCAGATTGTTGCCATTATATAAACAGTGGTGCTTTTATGCCTCTGTTATATAACCAGTGATGCTCTTACAGACTCGTTTTTTTTGTCTATTTTCAGCTGAATAAATTTAACCCTATGGGAGACACACTAGCCTCTGGCATGGGTAAGTAAAAAGAATCCGGAACATTAAGCTCCTGGAAAAGGGCAGGCTTGTTTCTCAGAGACTTGTTGCGAGTATGGGTTTCCCAAATCCCATTCACTAGTAGTTCTGTACAGTTTCCTACACATGTAAAGGAAATCAAGAGCTTCTTAGTATTCTTCCACTTCGACGGTTACGAAACAGGATGTTTCCGGGAGAGTCAGAAGCCATCCCTGGGCCAGAAGCTGCTGCCATCTGCTGGCCATGAAATTGTTCCAGAAAACAGGACGGGGAGAAAAAAGGCTTTTTCCAACTAGGCTGTAGCACTTTCCCTTTATTTGACTCATTTTCCAGGCTTCGGAGCAGAGTATTTGTTTTTTTCCTAGGCTGTGTGAGATTATGGGAGCTGACTATAGGTTTGTGGTTTATAGTTGTGACAGATAAGACTAGAAATTACTTGATTACAGTTCTCAATTAGAGCAGAATTCTGTGGGCCACCTAGAGATTGTCTGCAATACAAATATTTGCATCATCTGGACTGTGTAAATGTCTTAGAACAGACAAAATATTTTGAATTTCTGGCATCAAAGTGACATGGCCTTTGGTGCTATATTTTTATAAAAAATTTCTGATATACAAAACACGATGTTTTTGTTTTTCCTCTCAGGCTTTAATATTCTGATCTGGAGCCGGGAGGAGATGGTGATGAAGAAGCAAGAACATCTTTTGAAAGCCATGACTGAGCAGGGGGTCGGGAGCCGGAGTTTGTCCAGACGTGGAGGGCAGAGACAGGCAAACCCTGGGACAAGCAAACTCAAAGCTAAGTTATTGTCTTGGGAAGTGGAAGAGATGGGAACAAAACCCAAAGATGCTAAATCACGGGGAAGGAAGTGAAAAGGGATCTATATAACTGATAGAGTATTTTGATCCTTTTTTGATCATAGAAAACAAATTCAGTGATGGCAGTGGGCAGAATAGGCACTGCAGGGCATTAGCCTTCTACTTTGTCCTTCCTCTCTAGATCTGATCTTGCTTCTGTGATTCTCTGCTTCTCCTTCTAGAGAGTTGCCAGTGGAGTTACCACTTAATTTCTGAGGCACTTCAGAGTTTCTAAGGAAAATTCAGAGATGTTTTCAGATCCTGCTGAAGTTACTGCTTCCAGCCTGCTTGTTATCATTAACAGTGTGATAACAGGATATTATCTCCTGTAGTCTGCTGTGGAGCAGCTCGTGATGAGGTCTCCAGACTGTTTTAGTCAAATTGAGCTGAGGAAACCTTTGTTAGCAAGATTCATGTCTTGAAAGGTAGAATGTTCACAAGGGTGAGGTGATGGATAGCTTGAGTGAGTTAAGGAAACACCAGCCTTTCCCATCTGCAAGCTTCTTGCAGCATGTGCTGTCAAAAACCTCAGGCTAAGTCTATTCTGCACCTGCAGCTATTTAACTAGACCATGAAGAACATTATGATGCCATACCTCTTTATCTGCCTTGTGGGATGCATAGGCAATATAGAGCTAAGAACCTACTGTTTCTTTGTCTTCAGAACTCTAGGCATTTTTTTGCTACCAGTTAAGTATTTTTTTTCACCCATGCCAGTGTGCCTCAGAATGTTGGGTGTGTTGTTAAGCAGAAACGAGGGATTTCTTTCAGATGCCCCTTTTCAGAGTCAGACCTCACAACTGCTGTTAAACTGAAAAAATCTGCTTTTTTCTGGTTTGTTTATAAAGCTGTCTGGGAGCCTTGCTCCAGAAGTTGATGAGCAGGCTTTAGACCTGCTGAGATTCCCTGTGTTCACTTAATAGTTTTACAGCTTTGATATAAATAAAAGTTTTGTACTAAACTGAAGTACTTCTCTGATATAAAATGGGCGCTCTGACTATTCTGCTGAACTGTTTTTATCTGGGAGGTTAGAAGGTATTAATCTTTCTGCTGGAGGACTATGAGAACTAGAACTGATTTTTCTGTCTGTCATAATGCCGTATCTGCAACAGACCTTTCCCAGTTGGACAGGCTGCGTTATAAGCTGTACATATGCATTGTTGCTACCAGCCAAACAACTTTGTTTCAATTCTCACTTTGCTCTAGTAAACAAGGAATTTACCTTGGAAGGGGATATACTAAGTTATCCCTGTTTTCTAACGGTGAGCTGGGTTTAACCCTGTGAAATCTTAAAGAGGAAGAATAAAGTTCAGTGTGAATTTGATTTTAATGACGAAAAGGAAATGTACTGAAACAATTACAGAAAGTCATTCACAGTCAGAATGTCATTATCATCATGGAAACCTTTTTTCTGCATGTGCAAAATTTGCTGTCTTTAAAAATAACAGGTCTGGTCCCTTAAATGCACTTTCTATTACCTCTTTTTTTTTTTTTTTTGTGCCTGTTCACACAGGCTTTTGCTTTATGACTGCCTCACTGTGCAGCAAACCTAGATTACATCTTCAGAGGACAAAAAGGTGAGGAAGATGCTGAGAACAGCAAGCTGCTACTGCTGATTCAGAGTTCCCATGCTGGCAGATGTCAATTATGGTGTGGGGAAAAGTCCCAAAGAAATGTCGTTAGCCTAAGCACTCGCTTCTGCCGCCACGAAGGAAAGGGAACTGCAGCAGAAAAGGAACTAAAACTGGGAAGTGAATGTGCAGCATCACCATGTGAAGAGCCTGTGCTGGTGCCTGCCACAGTCTCTCATCTTCTGCCAGAAGCTGTGAGGCAGGTGGTGAGCACTTGGCAGTTGCAGTGTGCAGAGAGGCCCACAGCTTCCATCCAGCTTGCCTGGAGAAATGATCACACTTCAGACAGAAAGCCAAAGCATGGCAGATGAAGGGATCCACAGTTACCTGCAAAGTCTGATCCTTATGATTTGATTTCATTTTTTTTCCTCTGAATGAGGTGGTCCAGTAGGGGATACAGGAAACAAAAACAACAACAAAAAACCAACCAAACAAAAAAAGAACAACAACAACAAAAAACAATACAGGAGTTGGCATTTATTCTAATCTTGAAGCTCTTTGCTCAAGATCATATGGATGTGGATCATATGTAACTTTGAACCAAATACCAAAAAAACTACTGCCAGGTTTGCAGTTCTGTCCTGATCCCAGGCCAGTTCTTTTCTCTTGAGCTGCAATGTGAGGAGGGGAAGAACTGACTAGCAACAACTACTTAGCAGCCTCAGGAACCACTTGTCACTATCTGCCATCATCTGCAGCAGCTTCCTCTGTGTGACCAGCTGCCGCCACTGCACACGGTGATCTGGGCCTTCTACTCCAAGCCCAGCTTTCCCACCAGCATCAGTCCAAAGGCTTGAGAGAAAAGCACACAAAGCAGGTTGTGTGGAAAGAGAAGCAATTTTTGATTGTCCTAGATGTGGCACCTTCTGGAGAAACAAGCGCCTCTGCTACAGTCATGATGAGTGGTTACATTTACAATCACTGAAAGGAGGAAAATTCTTCATGAGCTTCAACTGGCCATGGTGGGAATCCCAGACAAGTTGTATGAGGACTGGGGCACCACACAGTAGAGTGGCTTCTCAGAATTAAAATGTCCGCTTCCATTAGATTAGGTTAATCCTCTCTCTGGGCATCTCATTAGAAAGCATCCAAAAATCACAGTCCAGCTTCGTTCTGGGAAGCAACGGCCAAAGCAGAATACTCAGTAACTGAAGATGCCCAATCATCCTTAGGGGCAACACTGCTCCCTCCTATTGCCTGGGAAGGAGTTGAAGCAACTGTCAGGCCTGCTCTTCTCCCTCATTGGAAACGTGCCGGTAGCCAGGGGGCTGAGACTGAATGCGAAGGAGTACGGTCAAGAGGAGGATTATAAGGAGAAGGAGAATGGATCCACACACAGCCAGACCCACAAACAGTCCTGCAATGGAGAAAATAAGCAGTCAGTATAATACCAAGCTTTCCCTGTCTGCCACTATCTGGTCCAGCTTAGGCTCACCTGTGTCACGCATACTGCTTGCTACCTGACATTCTTGCTCCCAGTCCTGAGGAACAACAGGATCTGTGAGTTCCAAGAATCTTTGCAATGGACATATTTGCTGACAGCCAGGAATTGTCAGCGGGAAAGGTTCCTTTCCGCTCTCATTCCGGAAAAACATTTCCACAGAGAAATTACTGAAAAAAAACCCACAGAAAATAGGTGTTTTCTTTTTTTCCATCCAGCTGAAGTCATCCCTTCCCAAAAAGCTCTTAGTGTGCACACCGTTTCCTTTAGTCTGGTGGTTGTTTTCTTCCTAAGAGTTTGCCACTAGGACCAAGATTGCATCCCCCTAGGTTACACCTAGCCTATGTATCTAACCCTTGAGGTGAAATCACAGCAGACATCTTTACTGCAGCCCTCACCCATCATCCTCTTGGTACAGCTCAAATAAATGACATGAGGCGTATGGTGCTTGAATCTTGTTGTAGACATCTAGAGCCATCTGCAGTGCCACAAGTGTGGTGTCATGCTGAGAAAGAGGGAAAAAAACCAAATCAGTCACCCTCATGAATGTGGCAGGGCAGCTCAGACCATACCAGCAGCGGACAGGACAGTGCTGAAGGGAAGTCCCCATTGTATCTTCCACAGGGAAGAAGGGAAAGGAGCAGTACTGTTTGAAAAGTGATCTGTGATGGTACCAGAGAAGGAGAGGTAGTGAAACAAAGCCATATGTCCTGCATCATTCTGTTACGAATTATTTTTTACAGGGCAGTTTTGGGAGAGATGCCTGACTTTCCAGTCAGCAGGCTGCTGAGAAGTTAGGGGCATGACTTTAGCTACACTGTGTAACATCACATTTGAGTACCACCAACCCATCCACTAGTGAAGTCTAGCACTATCCCCCAAAGACTACCAGTCTCATCCACAAGTCTAAGCTAAAAGGAGCGAAGTGCCAGTTAGGAATTTTCCTCAACGGCCCTAGAGGAATGATGCCAGACGTGGCACATCCCACCCAGCCAAAGGCAAAGATACATCTCCTGCTCACTGCATAGGCTGTGGAGAAGCCAGAAAGGGTTAAAGCCATCAGCAAGCCCCAGTTCCCGGTGAGGAAGGGTAAGTGGACCAAAGCTAGTACCCAACCTCTGACTTACCGCTGAATAGACAAGTAGTTTCAGTTGCTGGTGGGCAGAGATGTTTGCTGCTTTGGTTAGGTTTTTCCTAATGTGATCCAGCAGGACCCCTGGCAAACACAAATAACTAGTAAGATTCAAAATCCAGACAAAGCAGCACAAAGCTCCTTCCTCTGTGCACTCACCGCCTTGCAAACGAGCTTTTTCTACCCGACGATGAATTCCGAACAGAAATTCAAAACCGAAGTCTTTTAGCTGCTTCATTTGAGTCATGACATCTGGTGTCACCCATGATGGCAAATCCATTTTGTGTGCTTGCTAGGAAGAGAAAGAGAGTACTCATGTGCAGGTAGCACGGACCACGGATTAATCAGAGCAGGAGTCAAGGTGTCTGGAGTCCTGCCCAAACTGTTGTTGTGTTCCTGCTTTACTTTAAGTATTACCCTCTTCTATTTATGCTTCTATAATCACTGTGAACACTGCATACAGAAAATAGAGGTAGTTTGTGTCCTTCCTTTTTAATGTTGCTTTAGAAACTAATCATGAGAAGCATAAAGATTACAGTTGAGGAGCTACTTTTCTGTAAATGCACAACTGGAGTGCAGGCTTTTATTCTTACAACAGTACAGTAATCTCAGGGCTTTTGCTTTACGTGTGTATGCAGATGGCACACAGTCAAAAACAAAAAGACAACCCGGAGAGCACAGGAACCCAAGTTTTCTGCTGTGTCTGCAGCACAATTCCCCAGGAGGTTTTGAGAGCCAATGAAGGATACTGGAGAATGTTAGCAAGCACTCTGCAACAGTACTGGGATGCACCTGGGATGAGGCCCAGCAATCAAACCTCAAATACATGTAACTGGGAATCTAGAAAAGAATTTGTTTTGTAGCTAACCATTTGCAAGAAATAATTAGTTATGCTGGCAGACAAACAGTTGTGGTTCCCTGGCATTACTCAATTATTTTCTATGCCACATCCCACTAAAATGCCAGAAGATGAGACTGAATATCCTTAAGGGCACATTCTGTCTAAGCAGTTCCCATTAGCAACTTACATATTTAGCTAGTTTTTCATTACTATACAGAAATAATAGCTGCTAAGTTCAGGCATTTCTTGGGCTTTTATTTTCATCCAGGTGTGAATCTCCTGGTTCCTGTGTGAAAAACAGTACTTCTCTTCAGGGCACTGTTTGTAAAAGTGAGAAAAAAGGAGGAAATTCAAAGTATCTAAAGAGATTACTCAGTATAAGGGTATAGTTTCGAGAGTGGATCTCCTCTTCTTTACAGTGTTCTCTTTCACTTTGGGACAGTGAGCTGTTGCCTGAGATCTTAGGGCTACAGTGGTTCAGTTGGGTTTCTTGACTCAATTTGCAAGCTCTTTAAGTCAGTCTTGAAAGTGAAAGTGAAGTTCTTGATCTCTCTGACCAGAGGGATTTTTGTTACTGACAGAAGTTGCTTCAGAGCGATAGGAGATTACGTTTGTGATACAAAGGGCAAATTTACACAGTGCAGTGCCACTCTGGATTGGAATATTCTCAGCTTGCAGCAACTCAAGCTGCTACTTTACAGAGCAAGTGCAACTGCATGCAGATTTATCCTTTACATCCCCAAAGGACATATACAGATATGTTAACGTACCACCGCCAGCAAACTAACTAGCCTTGTGTGTCCACAGTACGAGCATGGACACAGAATTAGCATCGACAGAATGTCAGAATATTTAAGTTTATGGATTCTTTCAACAATAGCTAGTCTGACACTAAAGATCTCTATAACATGCTTCCTTATGCTCTACAGTTGTACACAAATTGATGTATGCAATAATTATAAGTCTCCTGCATGCATGACCTTCACTTTGTCATTAGCTAACCTGATTTTTATTTTAAGCCTTCACAAGATGTGCTTTCAACAAAATACCGTGAGTTTTGGGCTTGCCCCACATGGTAGAGAACTAACGTGTCTCTAGTCTTTGTCATAGGATATCATAACAGATCTAAACCCAGATGTTGGTGAAACCCACTTAACCTAGCAGAGAGAAATAAACATTAACAGAACACAGAAAGAAGTGATTGACCCAAATTAACAGAGGCAGAGGTAGAATCAGGAATGGTCTCAACTTAAAGTCTCTAACTTAAATCATAAAGTGAACGTGTTTCCAGAAATCTCATTTCTACCTAACTCAGCCGTCTCTGGAGAGCTGAAGATTTCAGACTGCAGTCTTTTTCTAGTGACTTTCAAATGAATAATTTACTGCACCTGTGGCATGGTATTTAAGCTACAAAGCAAGAGGTAACAGAGCCCTGAGACCAAAGTCTCATGGCTGTAAGAGGATGACCAAACTTACTTCACAGAACAGTGTGTCATACACACTCCAAACAGACTCGAGAGACAGATCCCGGATTCCAGTCTCATTTGCCACCATCTGCAGGAATTGCTGTAGGTACGAGCAGAGAGAGACCTTCAATTTTTCAACCTCATACAGCATTACACACACAGAATGAGTCTTCCTACCCTTCTCTCTGATAATGTAGAGGTAACAGTATTTCAACTAAAATCCTAAGACCATTTTATTTCATGCAAACGACCACTCACCAAATTGTCTCTGGTCTTATTTATGTATTCTGCTGAGTTCCGTGTTTCATTCTGTAGCTGTTCATATCGTGGACAGGGGGTCAATGGAAATTTCAATAGCTGGAAAGAGACAAGAGCAGCAAGATCACCGAGAATACAGATGTACAGGATTTGTACGTACAGGACTTTTGACATACAAAATTGTACCAAAACTGACTGGTGGGATGCATCTATGAACAGCTTCAGGTATTGCCTTCTCACACATTCCAGTTTGTGTGTGGTCTGGTGAGTGGCTGTGGCTAATACTGGCTGTACAAACACAGACCTTCAGTTTTCATCTTGTTCAAAGAACAGAAGAATCTTTGCAAGACAGGTTCCCAGGAGAAGCTCAAGACAGTCTGAATTGAGACTGAAGGAAAAAGCTTATGGAGAAGTCAGCGTAACGTTACTCGAGTAGTCAGTACACATCCTTGGGACTAACTTACCATTTCTCCGGACTCCGGCACTGTGTGCACAGGGATTGGCTGCCAGGAAATGTTAGGGTTGAACATCTGTTGTTTCTCTGGGGGATACAGGCCGGCCAGATTGGCCTCCGCACTCATCAGCGTCCGATCATAATCCGTGCTGCGGATGAAGATCTGCCAGGATATGGACAATGCACCATTAGCATTGCTACTGTAAGTGATAGTGCTTAGACAAAGGACAACGTGTGTGCTGAAGAACATTGCCAAGTGCCCTGCAGCTGCTCACAGACAACAGAGTAACAGGAACCGAAGTGATTGAGCCTGCTGCTGTCAACCTGGATGGAATAATAAGGACGGGTACGAGAGATGATGTGTCGTGTAGCACTAGAGCACTCTGTTCTGGGAGAGCGGGACAGTAAGATGTGCTGTGTGGAGATTACAGATGGAAGGAAAGGAGTCTGAATATTCTAGTCAGAGAAGGGCAAGACAGAGGTGCAGATAATGATGGACACAGATAGGAAGTGCACTGTATTTACAAGGCAGAACTGGGGCAAACTGCAGTATTCAGTTCTCCATTTCAGGAGCAGGCTACTGCTCATGCAAAAACCTGGCTTCTCCACACCTCAGCTTTATCACCTGAGAAATGGAAACAAGAGTGGTCTAAGAGAGAAAGAGAAGTGAGGAAGATGAGATTTTATATGATGAATGTGTACTTTTGGGATTAATGGGTCAAGACTTACCATCCCAGAGCTCAGAGAGAAATCTGAGCCAGAAAAGAAAGAAAAATACAAAAGAGTTCAGAAGGTCAAAGTGGTAAAATCTCTGGTATTCTGATATCCATGTACTGAAAACGCTTTGGGGAAACTGAAGGGAAACCAGTGCTAAGACAGGATAAACACATAGAAAAGAACATACTAAAAACCAACACTGGACCTGAAATAAGACGAAAAGAATGCCATAAGAGTCAAATATAATGTCAAGAGTGGGGTTTTGTTTTAAATGCTAAATGAAAAGTGAGAAATGTAAAAAACAAACAAACAAACAAATAGGCTCATCATGTATATCTCCCATGTAAACTGTGTATCAAAACTGAAGTCATGGCAAAAAAAAGTCTTGACTGTTTCTACCTACATTTACTTTCTAACTGTGGCTTAAAAAAACCTGATCCTGTACTTAGACAGGATTGCCTCTGTCCTAAGTATGCTCTGAAGAAGCAGAAAGGAAATATTTTAAAATATAAGGACCTACTTCTCTAAGTGTCATTAAAAAAACCCCAAACAATTAAGCCCTGAGCATATTTGCTTTCTTCAGCACCTTTTGCCAAGGCTCCAGCCTGTCGCTGAGTCAGGTGACAGATGGTCACACGGTATCATCCAGAGGCAACACTTCTTATAAGAGAACTTGCTTAACTCAAGCCTGCTCAATTCAGGCTTGGTTAGCACAACAGTTTTTGTTTGCATGTGCTGTGGTTAGTTTTTCTTTCTCAAGCAAGAGGAGAACAGTTTCAGCTGGCAAAAGCTGTATAAGAATGGACTATATTTAGAAAGGAACTACTGAAGAAAGTTAATAGACCTTTGTTTGAATTGAGACTGGAAGTTTTGTTGGTAAGACAGAGGTCAAAGAGATGTAATCTGAACCACACCAAGCTGTGTACTTACTGGAGAGTCCACAATGGGTGGGAGTAACAACAGAAAATCTTATGGGGACTCTTCCTCTGCCTCCAAGTAAGCTCAGATAAAACAACTGAATCAATGCAAGGCCACCAGTAGGACAAGCTTTCCTTTCCATCCACATGATAGTGTACCTCTCAGCATGATGCTTGCTCATGTTCCCATTGACTCACACCCCTGTGGTCAACCACAATGGACGTTTGTGGGGAATTTCAGATGTGCCTCTGTGCACAGCACACAGCTGCACACGGACTCCAGAATATTTTTAATGAAGTTCACTGATGACCGTCAGTTTCTCAGGAACTGGAATGAAGCAGGACGACACCGCAGAGGAAGAGAGCAAAGTTAGCAGATGGGAGAACAAAACCTTTACACTAGAAGGGAACAGAGGGTCACTTTTGGTTGGGGACCGCTGTCTGTACGGGCCGTGAGACAGCGCCTGCAGCGTAGCACAGACAGCACGGCAAGCACAGGCGGGGTTCTTCTTTTTGACCGGGATCTGCTGTTGTGACAGAACAACCTCAAGTAAGAAACAACACCAGATTCGGCACGGCGTTTGTTGAGCATATGTTACGGCCGCCGGCACGCCGCTCCCCCGGCCCGCAGGTGCCGCTGCGCCGCGCTCGGTGGCGGAAGCGCAGAACGAGGCGGCGCCGCGTGCCGCTCCCACAGCCACGGCGCGGAACGAAGATCGACGAGCTTTTCCTCCATCTCGTCGTCATTTTAGTTGTGGTTTCGTTTTTTTCTCCTTTCTCCCATCCCCCCCCGCCCCTCGGGCACTCACCTCCTGCCGCCGGTACGAGGCGCTGAGGAAGTCGCGGTACCGCCGCCGCAAGGCCCGGCCCAGCTCCCACTGCTGCCGCATCCCCACCTGCAACAGCACCCACCGTTAACGCCGGCCTCGCCGCTCCCGGCCCGCTGCCCCGGCCCGCCTCCCGCACACACCTGCGTGAGCTGCCCGAAGCCCTGCGGCCAGGCGCCCTCCTGGAAAGGATCCCGCGGGTAGGCCTTGATGGGCGAGCGGTCTCCGTGCCGGTACACCTGCGGGCGGCACTGCGTCACCTCGGCCCGGCGGGGACCGACCCGGCCCGACCCGCTCCCACCGCCCCCCATCCTTCCCTCACCAGCGTCACGAAACGGAGGCTGCGGGGCCGGACGGGCGGCGGCTGCAGCCACGCCGCCAGGAGGAGCAGCACGGCGCCCGCCCGTTGCCCCACCGCCATCGCGCTCCCCGCGGAACCCGACCACCGACTGCACGCGCCGCACGGACGCAGTTCTC